CCCCTCCCCCCCCGGGTCACCCCTGCCCCTCCCCCCCCATGTCACCCCGTGTCACCCGAAGGGACCTGGCAGGACGGGGGGGCCCTGGGGGGACACACGGGGACAGGAAAGGACCCGAGGGGACACCAAAGGGACCCCGGGGGACACAGGGTGACACACAGGGTGACACACAGGGTGACACACAGGGTGACACAGGGGTGACACAGGGTGACACACAGGGATGACACAGGAGGTGACACACAGTGACACATGGTGAGACAGGGGTGACACAGGGGTGACACACAGGGGTGACACACGGGTGACATGGGGTCACACAGAGTCACACACACTGACACACAGGGGTGACACAGGAGGTGACACACAGTGACACAAGGTGACACAAGGTGACACACAGGGTGACACACGGTGATACACAGGAGGTGACACACACAGGAGGTGATGCACAAGAGGTGACACACAGGAGGTGACACAAGGTGACACAGGGTGACACACAGGAGGTGACACACACAGGAGGTGACATACAGGAGATGACACAAGGTGACACACAGGGTGACACAAGGTGACACATGGTGACACACACAGGAGGTGACACAGACAGGACACGACACAAGGTGACACACAGGGTGACACACAGGAGGTGACACACACGGGAGGTGACACAAGGTGACACAAGGTGACACAAGGTCTCACACAAGAGGTGATACAAGGTGACACACACAGGGTGACACACAGGAAGTGACACACAAGAAGTGACACACACAGGAGGTGACACAAGGTGACACAGTGACACACAGGAGGTGACACAGGAGGTGACACACACAGGAGGTGACATACAGGAGATGACACAAGGTGACACACAGGGTGACACAAGGTGACACATGGTGACACACACAGGAGGTGACACAGACAGGATACGACACAAGGTGACACAGGGTGACACACAGGAGGTGACACACACGGGAGGTGACACAAGGTGACACAAGGTGACACAAGGTCTCACACAAGAGGTGACACAAGGTGACACACACAGGGTGACACACAGGAGGTGACACACATGGGAGGTGACACAAGGTGACACAGGAAGTGACACACACAGGAAGTGACACACACAGGAGGTGACACAAGGTGACACAAGGTGACACACAAGAGGTGACACAAGGTGACACACACAGGGTGACACACAGGAGGTGACGCACACAAGAAGTGACACACACAGGTGACACAAGTTGACACAGGGTGACACACAGGAAGTGACACACAAGAAGTGACACACACAGGAGGTGACACAAGGTGACACAAGGTGACACACAGGAGGTGACACACACAAGAGGTGACACACAGGAGGTGACAAAGTGACACACAGGGTGACACACAGGAGGTGACACAGGAGGTGACACAAGGTGACACAAGGTGACACAGGGTGACACACAGGAGGTGACACACAGGTGACACACACGGGAGGTGACACAAGGTGACACAAGGTGACACAAGGTGACACACAGGGTAACACACACAAGAGGTGACACACACAGGAGGTGACACAAGGTGACACAAGGTGACACACAGGAGGTGACACACAGCCCGTCCCTCACCGTGGGGTGACAGTCGGCGGTGACGCGGCCCCAGGGCACGGTGACAACGATGGCGCCGCCGCTCTGGGGGGGCCCGGGGGGGTCCCCGGTGTCCCCAAGGTCCTGCGGGGACCCCCCGGGGCCTTCGTCCTCCTCCTCCTCCTCCGAGTCTGGGGGACAACGGCAGCGTCAGGGGGGACCCCAAACACGGGGTGGCTCCAGGGGACACCTGGGGACAGCCAGGGGACAGCAGGGGACAGCCAGGGGACAGCTGGGGACAGCAGGGGACAGCAGGGGACAGCAGGGGACAGCCAGGGGACAGCAGGGGACA